CATACTGTCAGGACATGGTGACAGTTTCAACACATATGTATAAAAATAGCTGAATAGTGGAGGTAGAATTAAAAAAACTTGATGTCCTGCTGTATAGAAACAGTAATCTATTGGACCAGCTTCTTCAAATGTCCTTCTTTTTTTCTTATATTCCTGCAGGAAAGCACATTACTCCAGGGGAGGAGTCGGTAACCCTCGACAACGGTGGTTTTACTTCTCTGGAGCTAAACAGCAGAACACTCAACACCAAGAACTCCTTCCTCAAAAAGAATGGGAACAGGTTAGCTCTCTCAGAGGATTACATAGCACTAATCCTCATTGGAAGAAAAATAACAGTTTCATCATCCAAATTTGTGTCCAGATCTCCACCCAGGCCCAGTCCAGGTGGGCTCCACTATTCTGATGAAGATATCTGTAACAACTATAACGGAGCAGTGCTCACTGAAAGCACCACACTCACAGAGAAACCCACTGAGGTCTCTGAATCAGAGGTATCTGTGTTTTCTAGTCTGTCTTTATGGATGTGGCTTTCCAATGTTTGCCTCAGTTTAAGCTCCTCCTGTTTCTGTTTGGTGTAACTTTGTCTCAATATGTGCCACAATTTTACACCAGTGTGTCTGACTTATGAAGATCAGTTGGTTAGTGCCAGATATTTGATCACTAGTTTTTAACTGGCGTCTTTTTATCTACAGATTGTGTAGGTTAATTCCTCAGAGTTTATGTTTCTACTACTGTTAAGAAAGGAGCAAACGAATAGCTGTAGAGTGAGAAAGATTAATCCTTCACATTGTGCTTCAATCAGTTTTGGTTCTGGACTGAGTTCACGGAGCTGAATCCAGAATATGATATAAAGTATTCTAACAAGTCTGGAAAAGCAGGGAAAATATTTGTTTTCCCCCACTTTATTCCAAATTCTGTTCTCTAAATCTGCCCTTTATTTGTCAAGCCATTTGTCCATCTATTTTTCTACTTTCTTTCCATCTTTCCTTCCTTTTTTTTTTTTTCTGGTTTACTTTTGAAATTTATAAACTGCTAATGTATCTGCCATAAATTCACTTGGAACGTTTGTGTTCATACTTTCAAAATGACCAAAAAAAATTTACTGAAAATTCTGAAACCACTGTAACATGTCACCAAACAATTGTGATCGATGTGATCCTTACAATTCGGAAGCACTTTACATTTGGAAGAAAATCTGTCTGATATTGTCTGAGGTGTACAGTCAAAAGAAAGTGACAAGTATTTTCAGTCTTCAGTTTGTGTAGCATGTCTTCTGTCAAAAAAGCTGAAAAGAGAAATATAGATTCATGACTGATCTGATTTATTATAGTCCTCAAAGGGTTAGTCGGCAAAACAACATGAAGCTCTGCTAACAGGCTCTGACTCGTACAAAGCTTTTAGTCCAACAGAGGAAGCTGAAAAAAGCCAGGTTAATCTCAGTGAATATAGCTCTTAGAAGGCTATTTTAGATATTTGTTGTGGTATTATATTGCTGTGCTGTAACTTTGGTTTTATAGAATAGAATAGAATAGAATAGAATAGAATAGAATAGAATAGAATAGAATAGAATAATCTCTGATCATTGTATATAATAAAATTAAATTCCAGATATAACAAAAGGACTTCAAAGAATAATAAAAAAATCTAAACATTACTATATTAGACAAATACAGCATAATGAAAATAGTGTATATGTGCTGATTATATTGCATCTTTTATAGATATGTATCATATTACACAAGTCTCACACTTTAGTATAGTTCACATGCCTGGAACTTTGACATGCCATAAACTTCTGTGTATTTTCCTTGAGATGTACAGTTGAAACCAGAAGTTTACATTCACAGAATAGAAAGACACATGCGCCATTTTGTTTCTCACTATCTGAAGCTAAACCACTTTGTCTGAATGCTTTGCAACATTGTTAATTTGGAAGACCAATTTTTAACTTCCGGGCTGATGTCTTTAGATGTTTTCATCCAAATGTGGAAACATTATGGCCAAACAGATCAGGACATGACTCCAAAAATGAAAGTTACTGTCCCTGTGTGCATTTGCAAACTGCAATATGGCTTTTTAATGTTTCTTTTGAAGTCATGGCTGACTGACTGACCAAGTTTGGTCTCATGTGACTAGAGCACATTCTCCCACATTGTTTGCTGTATCCCAACATGACTTGTGGTCAGTATTAATGTAACCCAGTTACTTTTTTCAAGTAACAAGTAAAATAAGGAACTACAATTAAAAAAAAAAAAAGTCATTAGATTACTGTTACTCCACACAAGCAGACTGTGATTTTGTTTGTAATCCTCTCATGACAATCATGTCTGTGTGTGCGTCATCACTGGTCATGGTAACAAACCAAAGCGTAAATCAGCAGCAAACAGTACAGAGTGCAGCAGAACAATGTAGCGTTTAATGCTTGGAAGCGCCATCATTAGCTGTTCGCTCTGTGTGGGAAGAAAACTTATCTCTAGTGAAAATTCTACTTCATATTTGAACAGTAGCCCCGAGAGCCCCCAGACCCTCTCACTGACTTGACCATTGCAGCTACCACATAGATTCCACAGGGCAAACCTCTGACAGCCCCTCTCCTGCTAAACAGGTGAAAAGAGATTTTTTAAAACTCATTACTAGTCTTCTCTCTACTTCAAAAACTGTTAAAAGATGGAAATGGTACTAATTCAGAGGACAGTCAGGAGATATCAATTTAAATTATTTTATATTATCACTGTATTTTACATCTATTTTGAATGAAAGAATGCAAACACAAAAATAATTATGCTTTGCATGGTTAGGAAGAAATATAGTTTAACAGAAGAGAGACTTGATTTTCTTTATCATGGAATGTGCAGAAGAAAATTCTTCAAATCAGACTTGCATTTCATTACATTTTTTGTGATGAAATGTACATTAAGTTACAAGCCAAACAAAAACAAGTAACTAAATAAAGTAATTAAAGTAATTAATTATTTTTAAAATAAGTAATCAGTAAAGTATTAACTGGATTATTCTCTTGGGAAAGTAATCAGTAATTACTTTCGAATTACTACTAAGTTGGCCAACACTCCTTGTGCCAAACCTCAAACATGACTTTTGCTCTTTCTTTCAATCCTGACTTTATTCTATCCATTCTGCATGAAGGCCAGAATTGCAGAATAAACAATCATTCTGTAAACGATAATTCACCTGAGCTGTGGATATAAAGATATGATAGAAAACTTTACCAGTTTGAATTATAGGCTGAAGTTGACTGCATTGCTAGGTGACTAGGGTCAATTAGAATGTATGATTGGATTGAGGTGACATGTTGTGAATTGCCTCTAACTATATAAATAAACCACTTATGTAGCTTTTTAAAAAATGATTTAATTTTATTTTATTTTATTCTATTTTATTTTATGTTATTTATTTTTTTATCTTTTTTATACATTTTAAACTCAGTTTGTTGTCTTGGATGTTATCTACAGATATTAGATTAAAGAGTGATCCCACTTTAAATTTTTTATATTCACTTTAAAATTAAGCACAACTTTGTGTTGTTTTGTCACACAGAATCTATGTATAATACAATGGAGTTTGTTGTGGTAATGTAATAAAAAGTAGTTAAAGAGAGACTTGATGCTTTATGTTGGAAGTCTGTTTGAAGAGACAGACTGAGATGATTGAGATCAACATGTTTATGACTTTGAGGGGACAAAAGTTTCTTCTTTAGATTTTAACAGCAGCTTGTAGCCATCATTTGGAGAAAAGTTTTCTGTGTCGGTTTGCCTTTGTTTTAATTAGCCTCTAGCGCCCTCCAGAGGGCAGCAGCTCAGATGTGTTGAGACGGAGTTTATTCTTCACTTTTTCCTTGAGCCAATGATCCTCTCAACGTATTTGGAAGCCTGCTTTTTATAGAGATTCAAATATGTTTTAAAATAGCAGGAAAATATCACAGAATAGCATTTTTTTCTGTACCAGTAATTTAGTTTTCCTGTCTTACTCTTGTTCCTGTCATAACTGGTAAGTTGAAAAGCATCCTGTTGTTTGTGTGCAGCTAACGGACAGCGACTACGAGGATGAACAGCCAAAGCACTCCTTTGTCAACCACTACATGAGCGACCCCACTTACTACAACTCCTGGAAACGGCAGCCCAAAGGCCTCAAAGGGACAGGGAGTCCTTTTGCTTACGACGAGTGTGCCACCGCTGACACAGAGCCCTACTATCAGACGGTGGTGACACAGCACAGCGCAGGGGGAGCTTACACACCCACAGGGCAGCCCGCGCACACACACATCAATCCCAACGCCAACCCACCGGGGTCACGCACTCCTGTGACAGGGTTTTCTTCCTTCGTTTGACTCTAGAGACAGTGTTTGCACAAAAATGCACAAACACACACACACACACACACACACATGCACACACACACACCCACACATGGAAGAAAGGGGGTGCTGCCATGTGTTTGGGCTGAAGGAACTGGGAACAAAGGAGCCGTCATGCCCCAAAGAACTAAACTCACACTCCTTACTCGCCTTCGTCTCTGCTCATGAAGACCCTGTGTTCAGTGTGTGCTCTTTTTCTTAGTGTGCTTAAATGCACCATTACATCCTCATTTTTCACAAATTCTCACCAGCTTACTCCTGTCTACTCCAGAGACTCTCCACAGAGAGCCGTAACGACTGTATTTATGTGTTGAGCCCATTAATGTCTTGCTAAGACCCCCCCTGGAGCTAAAGGAAGCTGGAACTTCTGCACAAAACTTCTCGTCTGTTTTCTGTACCTACACTTAAGTGTACAAGTCCCCACTTAACACCATCTCTGATGCACTATTTCAGCATCTCCAGCTGAGAGATGGGAACTTAAAGGCTGTGGGGGGGAAAAAAAAAAACTACACACAAGTGAGCAGCTTTTTTCTTTTCCACAGACTGATCCATGCACACAAACGCAGCGCTGCCAGCTTTCAGATACCACAGCAGGCAAGAGAAGAAAGGAGAAAAATGTTTGATAATCACAGCTTTTTGAATCTGAAATGGACAGAGAGTGAGCATGAGCAGATGTTTTTCAGCACTTACCTGCAATGTCAGAGCGTTGAGCAGTTTGGGATAGTGATTTTTGAATTGAAATACAGTACTTTGAAATATGTTCACATTTTGTCACATTGCAACCTCAAAATTCAGCTTGTATTATTAGGATTTTGTATGACAGACTATTACAAAGTGGTGCATACTTGGAAAATTGAAAGAAAAAGGATAGTTTGCAAACTTCTCAAAGAAAAACAAAGTGTGCTACACATTTGTATTCAGTCTCCTTGCATCAGAACTTTTGCTGCAGCCACAGCTGCACAACTTGCAAATCTACAGATTAAAAGTAGTAAAAACATCTGCTGCTCAGACAGGATGGAGAGCAGCTGTAAACATCCTTTTCAAGTCTTGGATTAAATTTACATCTGGACTTTGACTGAGCCATTCATGATAAGACACGATCTAAACCATGTGTTGTAGCTCTGGATGTTTGCTTAGGGAGGTGCGGTTGGGAGGCTAACCCTAGCCCTTTTTTTGCTATCCTGTTTCTGCTGGAGAAGCATCCCCAAAAAATAATGCTGCCACCGTCCTGTGAGTGCATTCAGGTTGATGTGCAGTTTTAGTTGTCTTATAACCCCAACTCCAATGAAGTTTCAACCTATATTCAGTTCAATTCACTACAAAGACACAATAATGTTCAAACAGGTAAACTTTTTTTTCTCCTAATGTTCACTTATTTGGATTTGATGTCTGCAACACATTCCAATGAAGTTGAGACATTGTTTTACACAGTAACATCCGAACATCACTAGAATTGGGTTTATTTAAACATTATATTTACAATTTACATTACATGTAAATTTTGGGATCATCTGACATCATCCACAGGTTTGCTTTGGCCTCTATGCTGGTTCTATTTTTAGTTGGTGGACTGAACAGAGCTCTGTGAGTTTTTCAAAAATTGGGATTGTTTTATAAACCAACCCTGCTTTAAACTCCTCCACAGCTTCTCCATGACCTGTCAGCTGGGTTCTTTGGTCTTCATGCATTTATACTAACAAGAAATTACTCCCAGGTGGACTACATTTACTAAGTATTTGACACTGGATTTTATTTATGGGTATCAGAGTGAAGAGGGTTAATAAAAAAATAAAAACAGCACACCATAATTAAATTATTTTTGTTCAAATTTTTTACATCATTTACCCTTTTTT